GCCCTAACTCATGAGACAAAGGCAAGCATGAACTTAGCATGCTTCCCTGTTGGGCGCTGTAAACGCTTCTGCGCTTCACCTTACACAAGGATGTAGGGGAGTGCCCAATAAATAAAAAAAAATACAGTATATGAACCTAAACTGAAAGCTGACACGAGTACCGATAATTAAGCCTGGGAAACATTACTGACTGATGTGGGTAATTAACAAATAACTACTGATTGAGCTTTAATTAACCTTTGTTTATTCTGACCCAAGACTTCGGTGATAATTCCTTTATTATATTTTTGTTTTTCAAAACATATATGAACACAACACGTCTGAGTAAACGTCATAAACTATCTTCAATCAAGGTGCCATATGCTAACTAATCAAGATGCCATTAGGTTAATTAATCAAGGCGTCACCAGGTTAATTAATTAAGGTGCAATCAAGTTAAATCATCAAAGTACCATCAGGTTAATCAATCAAGGTGCCATCAGGTTAATTAATCAAGGTCCCACCAGGTTAATTAATCAATGAGCCATCATCAAGGCTTGAGGATCGGTGACCACGGCCCACACACACTAAATACTTTCAGGTAATGTGTACACGATGCAACTGAATTTCCTTGGGGGTAGCGAATACGAAGGATGAATAACAGTACCAGCCTATGTGATAAATCCCAAACCCACTCACCTGTATACGGTACTCACGAATGTTTACACACACACACACACATCTAGTCATATAAATATCAACAATATTGGGATTTAAAGAAATATATTTATTGAAGGTCAATTAATTTTGAGACGAAGTGAATCTGCAATGTTTTTGTTCAGCTAAAACGAAACTCCATAAATTGGATATTTTCATGTCGATGTGGTGGTGGTGGTCGGGTGGGGGATGGTGGTCGGATGGGGGAGAGGGGGTTGGCGGTCGGATGGGGGGGGAGGGGGAGGGGGGGAGGGGGTCGGATGGGGGGAGGGTGTTGGTGGTCGGATGGGGGAAGGGTGTTGGTGGTCGGATGGGGGGGGGGTTGGTGGTCGGATGGGGGAGGGGGTTGGTGGTCGGATGGGGAGGGTTGGTGGTCGGATGGGGAGGGGTTGGTGATCGGGATTAGGGAGTTGGTGGTCCGGTGGTGGTGGGGTTTGTCGGTGTGGTGGTGGGGTGGTGGTGGGGTGGTGGTGGTCGGGTTGGTTGGTGGGTGGTCGGGTGGTGGGGGGTTGGTGGGGGTTGGTGGGGGGGGTTGGTCGGTGGTTGGGGGGTTGGTCGGGTGGTGGGGGTGGTGGGGTGGTGGTGGTGGTGGGGGGTTGGTCGGGTGGTGGGGGTGGGGGGGTGGGGGGGGTTGGTGGGTTGGTGGGGGTTGGTCGGGTGGTGGGGGGGTTGGTCGGTGGTGGGGGGGTTGGTCGGGTGGTGGGGGTTGGTCGGGTGGTGGGGGGGTGGTGGGGGTCGGGTGGTGGTGGGGGGTTGGTCGGTGGTGGGGGGGTGTGGTGGGGGGGTTGGTCGGGTGGTGGGGGTTGGTCGGTGGTGGGGGGTTGGTCGTCGGTGGTGGTCGGGTGGTGGGGGGTTGGTCGGGTGGTGGGGGGTTGGTCGGTGGTGGGGGGTGGTCGGGTGGTGGGGGGTTGGTTGGTGGGGCTGGTCGGTGGTGGGGTGGTCGGGTGGTTGGGGTTGGTCGGGTGGTGGTGGTGGGGGGTTGGTCAGGTGGTGGTGGTGGTGGTGGTGGTGGGGTGTGGTGTGGTGGTGGTGTGGTGGTGGTGGTCAGGGTGGTGGTGGTGGTCGGGTGGTGGTGTCAGGTGGTGGTGGTGTGGTGGTCGGTGGTGGTGGTGGGGGGTTGGTGGTGGTGGTGGTGGTGGTGGTGGTGGTGGTCGGGTGTGGTGGTGGTGGTGGTGGGGGTTGGTCGGGTGTGGTGGTGGTGGTGGTGGGGGGTGGGGGGGTTGGTCGGGTGTGGTGGTGGTGTTAGTCGGGTGTGGTGGCGTTGGTGGTCAAGTATCTCCTTACTCAGTGATATGATGTATAATTACACTTCAACTGCTCGTAGTTCTATAAGCAAGTACAAAGAGGGTTTCATGCAAAAGCAGTTCTACACTTTTCACTTAATTCACTGTAAACCAAACACTCGTCTTATCTTAAACTAAAATGATAAAATTTTTTCACCTATCTAATTTTATCGATGCAATATGGTTGAGAATTAATGTACGCCGCTTCCTTCACCTGGTAGCGTTATGCTGTCATACGTCATAACCTCACCTGATGATTCACCTGTATATTATTATTATTATTTCTAAACCTAATGACAATTTTCATTTCTTTTGAACTCTTTAAAATTTCTTTCCTTCATTTTGTTCTTTCCAATTTTTTTATTTAATTTTTTTATACATTTTCTTTCCATTCTATCCACTATTTTTTTGCCTATTGTTGTTATCTGTTCCAACACAAACAGAAGAAACAGAAAAATAAACTTAACCGTTCGTAAAATTGTGCAGATGGATCATTAGTCAACAGCTAAGAACCTGAACAGACTAAAAAAGCAAAAAAAATAAAAAGAGCAAAGACTTGAACAGGTAAAAAAAAAAATCTAACTATGCCCTGTACTTGGCATTATGAAGTCCTTATGTTCTCACAAGGCAGTAATTAACGAGATCCTTTCACAGAAGACCCAGTCAACCGAGATGTCGTTAACATACAGAACCTCTTAAATATTTTTTTTTACCACAGCCAAACTCTTATAATTTCAATGTGCGTCCCGGCAAAAAATAAAATCAAATAAATAAAAATAAAATCTGGTTATGACGTCAATGAGATAGTTTTACGAGTCGGAGTGAAGCAGTTCCTAGAGTCGACTTGATGATGATGGTACACACAAACAAATCCAGAGAGTTGCTTTACTTCTCCTCTTCGAAGCTGGAGCAAAGCCAAATGAGACACTACACCGCCATCTGTGGGTAGTGAAACGAATAGTTCAGAGACTTGTTTAAGCAGTACAGAGCCTCGTTCCAGAAGCTTAAGAAACTTTTTCCAGCAGCTCACTCATTCCAGCAGTACAGAGACGCAGGCGTGTAAAAGACTAATGAGCGCGATTTTCCACCAATCAACGATACACTCTGGTGCTTCGTTGCATAACAGATGTAAGCACTTAATACTAATTCTATTGCGGTTACTTCGTAATTAACGAGCCATCTCCACTAATCAGTCAATTCTCTGTTGGGCGTTAAAGGCAGATTAGCTACTGGCCATGCATAAGTTCACAAACATTTGAAGCCTCGATCTAAACGTCTTGTTGTACTATACCTGTGTATTCTAATGACCGTGAGAGAAGGGGTCATCCACATACGGCGGGGTTTCTAACGTCAGAGCAAACCCTCTATATAACTGGTAGTACGTGTGCCCGGCTGTCCCATGAACTATATATACCATGACATACAGTAATGGCACTCTCCATACATGTAGAGGGTATGTGAACACGGGAGTATCACAACTACAAGAGACAGCAGCAGTGCCATCATCCTACACGACACGAGCTCAACAAGGTCACTCACAGCTGCAAGGTGAAACGATCTTCGTCTAAACAAAAGATACATTGCACTACATTACACCTTCAAGGCTTCTGGGCTCCCAACAACTGTATCTCGAGCTCGGTTTATTAAAACGTATAACATTCTTAGATATATATATATATATATATATATATATATATATATATATATATATATATATATATATATATATATATATATATATATATATATATATATATATATTAGATTTATTCAGTACAATCGTCATGTATTCGTCTGCCGAATTCAATTAGAAGCACAAGGAAAATCACCAGACAAGACAGCCCACCATTGTACTGATTGTGGTGATGGAGAAAACCGGTCAGGGAGTTTGATTTGTTGAACAAAACAAAACACGCATTGTAGAACAAAACGGGCGCGTAAATAAAAAGTAAAAGGAATTGTCGAACAAAGACAAAACGGGCATTGTAAACAAAAACTAAAAGGTATCGTAAACAAAATCGTCTCGTTCAAAAACAAAATCGCATCAGAGAACAAAAAACAAACGAATCTATCCAAAACAAAATCGCATCGTAGAACAAAAAACAAGGCATCATCGTAAAATAAATCACAGAGGCAAAGCGGTTTCACGTAAAATATCAGACAAAATAAAAACCTAACGAGTCAAGATTGCAGTCTGGGAAGCTTAGTGAAAATGAAAGCATAAGAAGCTTAATTAAAGATAAAGTTTGAAATGGTTACTAATAATTATACTGAAAACGTCAAGCTTCCGTCATGAAATTCAGGTGAAAGTTTCCGCCTCTCAAAAGTTTCGTTTCTCATTGTAAAACAAATTGAAGACTATCCTAAAGTTTGGACCCCAGGAAGATTAGCCCTTAACAGCTCATCTATCCTTAAGATTAACCACCATAACCTTAACTTAACCTAACAGTAACCCAACCTAACAGTAACCCAACCTAACAGTAACCCAACCTAACAGTAACCCAACCTAACAGTAACCCAACCTAACAGTAACCTAACTTAACAGTAACCTAACTTAACAATGACCTAACTTAACAGTAACCTAACTGAACAATGACCTAACTTAACAGTAACCTAACCTATCATTAATCTAACTTAATAATAACTTAATATAGCCTAACAACACTAACTTATCAATAACTTGACCTTACACTTACTTGTAATTTTACCATTAACCTAACATGAACCTAATATAACCTAACCCAGGTAACATTAGGGCGTTTTATCATCAGTTGAAAAAAAGCTGGGGGGGGGGGGAGGCGGTTTAATCTTCAGGTTACTCTAGAGTTGACAACCTACCTGACCACTAGTGTAGAGGCAGCAGTGAGGCGACAGTTCTGCTCTCACCACCACAAAATGTAAACAAACACAATCAAGAACGAGCCACCTTATTTATCGTTTAATTGTCGTCGTAAGATGACCCTAACTTACCTTCACGTACAGTCTAATACTTTATCATTAATAAATACCAAATGTCCTTACCTCAAGATATAAGAATATATATCCACCAAATGCTGCGGTGATGTTAGAGAGAATATATATATCCAGGTGTTGCAGGTGTCAGTTTATATATCCAGGTGATGTAGAAAATAATTTTTATATATCCAGTGATGTGTGGACAAACGAGTGTTTTTATCCAGCAGATGCGTGTAGGTCGTCGATTTCCCGCCCAGACTACTTCTTGCTCCTGTTACTCGCTTTCACAAGGTAGATCTCATTGTGGCCCAGCTCTGTGTGCCGCTCTAAGCTCTCCCTGCTGATTTATATGTACACACACACGTTGATTAACTTATATTTTAATTAATGTTTATTTAAGGCTCGTATATTTAAGGATTATTTATAAGGCGTTAATACAGTCCTCTGGCTACTTTTTCTGGAGTACAATTATTTTTTCTTCTCTAAGTACACTTGTATACACCACAGGAGATGTAGCACACTTTAGTACACTAAGGATACCACTCTGGGACGAAAAAGTACACTCAGGTGAGTTAAGACACTGCTGTACGATAACACGACGTGCGCATACACAAGAGGTTCACTGACTAGCACGACGCAGTCTACACCTTATCACACTCGAGAAGATTACAGCACACGCAATGTGGCTTCAGAACACCAGCACGCAAATCCACAAACAGCCAGCGGAGGATGAGCGCGCACTCATCAAAAGCCGTAATGGAGGGGAGGCGGCGAACACTAGAAACGTTGTTTAGAGGAAGGGGCGGATCATGAGCTTCGCCTTACCCACCCACAGCTCACGTTACGCTTGCTCAGCTGGCACCGTCGTCTCCGGGCCTCTTCCTGCTGCCGGAGGAGTGTCAGGGAGGAGGTTGTGGAAGAGGCACCACACCTCTACTATCCAGGACACTTTTTTTTTAACGCTGGCTGTACCAACGCACACGACCCCTTCTCGACGACGCCAGTTATCACACGCTCCTACGACGTCTGCTATACCACGCACGAATCTTTACGCCTGCTGTTACCACTGCCCATGTATAATTCGTCTTCAGCACAGCCTCTGTAAAGATAAAGAAAAGTTAATAAGCTAGAAATGGCCTGTCACACACACACACAAGTCTTCCTGGTAAGTTGTACTATATCAAACATGTGTGCATCTCGAGTCAACCTTGACACAAACCGGAGTACTGTACATCTTGACAGTGAACCTTGGGGTGTATGCGTGTGTGTGCGCCATCTGTTAATATTTAAGTCTGTACCAATCTTAAAATCTTAACCATAAAGCACAGTAACACATCCTAACACCCAACACCCTTAGTCGTATCTTTGCACTGCTGTAATATAGAACTGAACCTCTACTGTAACTGCAATGTTAAGTTCTGTATTAATATAAGGAAATAAGAACCATGAATCAAGATATATTTTTTTTCACAATTTAAATCTTTATATACTGTACTCTGAAGTTCTCGCCAGGGCACCGCCCGTCCACCTTACCTAACCTTTACAGTTACGGTTAATAAAAGCGGTCAAGTGCAGTGCCGGTCAAAATACCCCCTTGTGTACGTGTATAGTTGTTTAGAGCGACAAAAACAAACGATAACATTATACAAAGTTCCTCATTTAAGTGGAGTTTCTGAAGACACTGTATCGGGGTTCAGATATAGTGTTCTTGTTTCTGAACCTGTAGAATGAACTGAACACAGCAGGTTCATTCTGGTCCCAAAACCGGATATTTGGCCGTCAGTCACCCACACACTTATTATTGCTCGTGCGCTCTCTCTCTCTCTGTCTCTACATAACATTATCAATGACCTATTATATTTATCATCATCATATCATCAAGCATTCATTATCAATAGGTATTACTTAACTGAGGTCCAGTATTATATTTAATGATAAAGAGGAAGAGGAGGAAAGAGAAAGAAGTAGGAGAATGAGGAAAAACGAGAAGAAAAGAGGAAGAAGGAGAAGAGGAGATATAGGAGGAAAAAAGAGGTGAGAGAGGAGGAAGAGGAAGGAGAAGAGGAGGAGGAAGGAGAAGAGGAGGAGGAATGAGAAGAGGAAGGAGAAGTAATTAGTTCAGTAAGATGTCTTGAACCTTGAGTGTAATGCCACCCCATCACACACACAAACCCTTCACTCTCTCTCACACACAAACCCTCCACTCTCTCTCTCTCTCTCTCTCTCACACACACACCCCCTTCACACACACACAAACCCTCCACTCACACACATACAAACCCTCCACTCACACACACAAACCCTTCACACACACACACACACAAACCCTCATACAGACACACACAAACCCTCCCCCTCCCTCTCTTACTTCCGGCCGGGACTCCTATCACAACCTTCTACGGCCATACCTCTTCTGCTCTCCCCCCTTTGCTCTCCTTCCATCCCTCCTTTCATTCTCCCCTCTCCCTCCATCTGTTTCTTAGTATCAATACACCATCTATCATTCACGTTCCTTTTCTCTACATTCTAATCCACTGAATTATGTCTCTCGTATGTATCTAATCCACTGAAGTATCTCTCTCATAAGTAACTAATCCACTGAACTATTGTATGTATTCTAATCCACTGAAATCTCAATCTCTCTCTCTCATCTTAACACGGTGAATATACGGTCTTTTACCCTACGTAATATAAACACGGTGTATAAACAACTCTCTCTCCTCCATATTCAAACAAGACCTTTCCTTATTTTTATTTTATATTTTTCCTTCATGTTCTTAATTTCTTCTTCGTCTTCTTTTTTTTTTCTTCGCGTTGTTCATTTCTTCGTCTTCCTCATGTCTTCCCTTCTTCAATGTCTTCCTCATTTTTCCTTTATTTGTACTCCTCTTTCTTTTTCTTCTTGTTTTTTTGTCTTTATTTCTTCCTTCTTGTAATACACTCCTACTCTCCCGCCCCTAAAATCCCAACATATTAAATTATACACACCGCCTCCCTCCCTATCTTTGTATCTCCATGTGCTTAATTATACACACACAGGCTTGTCAAAACATTTCCTTCCTAACATTCTAAACATAACTAAATCATTCTCTCACACAATCTAACACCATCTCATTCTTATAACATTCCCCTTCCAATATTTCAAGTCGTCATTCATTCCTCCATTCTCCCTTTCTCTCTCGCACGCACGCACACATTATTATTATTATTCCCCTTAAGACTTTAAAATGCGTCATTCATTCATTCATCTCTCTCTCTCTCTCTCTCTCTCTCTCTCAAAATAATGTTTTCTGTGATGAAGTTTTTGCCGATTTTAAAACAGATAAATTAATGTCTATTTACCGGCTCTTCGCCAACTAACTAATCGCCAATTGGATTATATTTACTGGCTCCCCGCCAACTAAATAATCGCCAATTGGATTATATTTCCCGATTCCACACCAACGCATGGCCAATTGGATAATATTTACCGACTCCCCGCCAACTAACCGCCAATTGGATTATATTTACCAACTCCCCGCCAACTAACCACCAATTGGATTATATTTATCAATTCCCCGCTAACTCATAGCCAATTGGATTATGGTTTATTATACATTTGTTCACAGTATCATTAATTATCGTTTCTCATCATCAACGTTCCTCACCATCAAGTTTATTCACCATCAACGTTTCTCACCATCAACGTTTCTCACCAACGTTCAGTAATAATTCACGTTCATTCATCATTCATCAAAGTCAGAAATTACAAAAAACTAAACATGATCATTTATCAAATCCCCAATTTCAAAAGGATTAAAAAGTACTGTTTTAAAATTCTCTTTTTTGTCCAGGTAATCAAGTTTTTTTTTCCGCAGTTCATAATAATTTCCCCTCACCGGTATGTAATTTTTAACTATGTTTTCTTTCACAGTTAACTTAAATTTCCCCCAAACTTAATTTTCCGAAACATACATTAATTCAGTTTTTCCAGTAACATTTTCATGAGTAATTAATTTCTTCCCTAATTTAAAATGTTCCTAACTTTTTCCAGAGACAATTAATTTTCCCTATTTTAATTTTCCCGGATATTTTAAGTACTATACCCTTCTCTTAAGTTTCTTCCCCGGCAATTATTTTTTTCCCCAGGCAATGTAAATTTTCTCCCTGTAAACATTTTTTTCGTAATAGAATTTTTCTCCAGCCAACTTGCGGTTTTTTTTAATATAAATTACTTTTCTCACTTAAATACTATTTTTCGATTTTTGTATTCTGACAATTTATTCTGAAATAGATCTGACAAAACAACGATGGATAATTAAAATAAACATTACATCAGTTCTTAAGTCAATTGGAATAAATGTTAAATTAGTTATAGTTAATAACAGTAAACAAAACACCCACGTCTTCCTTTACACGATTGTCCTCGCCATGATATAATCTAACACTGACCGGCAGTAATGTGGCAATTGAATAAACATGTCAAGCGCGATAGTCATTATCTTTCATCTATAATCAGCTGGTCGAGGATTTTATAGCCCAGACGACACGTTAGGGACTGTGGATATAGCCCACTGTATATACTAAGCCTTAGGTACACCAGGTCTGGCCGGCACTGCACTCGAATGCCTTCACTTCCCAAAACTGTAAAGCTGGGTACATATTTACAGCTGGGTGGACTGAGTGTGTCCCAGGATCGAACCAGCTACCCTTAGGACAGGAGACGAGCACTATATCCACTCAGCCACTACACACCATAAAAACTGAAATACAAGAGGCGAAATATATCAAACCCCAGACACAGGGTCCAAACTATTGTCACACCGGGTGTAGCAAACACTCCACACAGCCAATCACAACACAGGTATATCAATGCGAACCTTCCTTATTGGCCGTCGATCTCGAGTGATTGGTTCAAATATGAGGTGTCGTCGTAATCATGAACTCACCTGATCACCCGTGGCTAGCAGTCAGTGGCCCTTCATATTAAACGGATACATATTTAGGTAACCACCATCCTAAATACTACAAAATCAGTATCTTTATCCAACAGCTTTCTTATATGCTATCAGTCAGACAACTAAATACGTTATCCCCAGTATACAGTCCTGATAAATTTCCCTCGTCACCTCTGGCAACATCTGGCATATATTAAGGGTTCATGTACAGTATATAAAGGTTGTATTGATGTTTTAAGATTATCATTATTTTTCCTTCCAGGTTTCTTGTTTGTATTATATTTACTTTGATTTATTTATTTTTTTAGTGCCGTGTGTTTGTAACGGAATGAGAAGTAACGTCGTCCACAGCTATTAACCAATAACAGACGACTCAAATAGATGCCAGAAGTAGTGAGAATTTCAACCGCAAGGCATTCCCTACAAAAACACCTTACGTAAGCAGCTGATCCAGTACAATATGTAAATACTGTAAACTCGGCTTCACAAAGTTAACATCGTAAAATTCTTTTCAATATTTATTACGGTTGGTTCACCACACACCCGCAACACAGGTGGGGTTTACAGTGGTTGTACACGGGAATTAAAATTTGTAGTAACTGACTCGCTGCCGCTATCTGGACTGATCCATTTTACTCAATACCGTAAACCAGTCATTATTATCGATCTATTTCGCCTAATAATACCAATACACTATAAATGTCATCTATCAATATTCATCTATATCCATTTATCTATCAGCTATAAGTTTCTACACGTCACAGGAGCAAACAATTAAGAAGGGCGTCAACACTGCTCACCTGCCTTATATCTTATCTCAACAGCTGATGTTTTACAGGTTATCAACCACAAGCTCTCTGCCTCACCCTCAGAGCCACAAGTCGTATATGTGTGGTTTATGACGTCTATAATATGTCTTGTAGCTTTTAGTTCAATCATTTTCACCCAAAGTTGAATAACTTTAAAAAGGACCACATGAAGATTAGTCCCCCAGCTAATTTCACCTGATAAACAGCCTAACGCTACCTTGAGAAGTTAGATTAAGTAGGTTCATAAGGGTGGTTGATTTTAAGATGAATTTATGCGTTTCATATCCAATCGCAGTAATACTGAAATGTGCATTTCGAAGGTGATATCAAAAGTGAAATAAATTGCTGTATTC